TTAGACTCCTCTTTCGTCACTCTCTGGTACCTTTCGTTCTATATTTGCTGCAAGACTAACCTTCTAGTAGCACACTATGCAGAGTTTTGGAACCTTTTGAACTTAGTTGCAAAGTCTTGTTTCTCATGAGTTCTACTCTTTCTTTGAGAGTGCCCTTTGAGTTTTGTTTGATAGAACTCAAGAGCTGAGTGACTAACAAAACAAGATGAAACCTCGCACTTCATTATGGTTTCTCTCTTTGATTTACACACTCTCTTTTGTGGCTTCTGACACTCTGCCCTCTAATGAAGGTATGCGTTTCGTTTGAGAATTCACTTTCTTTTTCAGATCTCACTTATTCACTCAAGTTATGCCATGTTTTTCTGCTTCGACAATCTTGTTGACTGTTTAATTTCTTCTAAGGCTGTATGTTAGGTGTAATTAAGTAGCAAGATTGATAGGTAGGTCTATTTCTTGGTGACCTTGCAAGTTTCGAGATAGTGTGCTTGGTTTTGCTTTTCATGGACGTGGTCCTTTTTTTCTTGGCAAAGCTACCCAAGTTTTTATTACGGTGTTCGTAGCAATGACGTTTCTTTCTTTTCTTGATAGTTTGGGCGCTTAGGAGCTTCAAAGAAGCTGTTTATGAAGATCCACATAAGGCTTTGTCCAACTGGAATACTCTGGAGTCAGATCCTTGTGACTGGAATGGTGTTTCTTGCACTGCAACGCGAGATCATGTCATCAAGCTGTAAGATATCACTGGTCTTTTCTTGCTGGTGCTCTTTTCTGTTGTTGTCGATGGGGGTGTACTGTTGGTATCTCACATGGGTGATGACGTGAACTTCTAAGGTAGCACATTCCTAGCACTAAAGATTGAGATTCTTCTTTGCAGAAACATATCAGGATCATCATTAAAGGGGTTTCTTGCACCAGAGTTGGGGCAACTCACCCACTTGCAAGAACTGTATGTTCACCCTTTCTCCTAGCCGTACTTCATCCTGAAAAGTGAAAACCTGTGGCTTGGTCATATTGTGATTATTACTTGGCTTGGTTCTGGTATATCATGGCTGAAGCTGATTTCTGGTTCTTTTGTTTTTGCAGAATTTTGCACGGAAACAATCTCATTGGAACAATACCTAGAGAATTGGGCGAGTTGAAATATCTCAGGGTGCTTGATCTAGGAATGAATCAGTTAACAGGGCCAATTCCTCCGGAGTTTGGAAATCTAACTCAAGTTGTGAAAATGTAAAAGAAATTCAGTATAAACTTCCTGAATAGAAAAAAATAAAAATTATTGACTCTCCTACTTATTCAAATTTGTTTGCATTCTTGTAGAAACTTGCAGTCCAACGGGTTGACTGGTAGGCTACCCCCAGAGCTTGGAAACTTGAGATTCCTTCAAGAACTTCAGCTGGATAGGAATAGACTTCAAGGTCCTATTCCTGCTGGCGATAGCTCAAATTTTGCTTCAAATATGCATGGAATGTGAGTGTAATTTTACAATCGAGTTATTATAGTTTGGTTAGGGATTCAGTATTCTTATTCACGTAGTTCCTTCCTAACCTGGTTGATAAAGCACTTCCTTTTCATAGTACGGATGTAGACTATAGGAGTGTAGCGCACCTTTATATATGTTGTACGTAGCCAAAATTGAACGAGCTACTGTTTCACGTTTGAATGTTACTTCTTTCATCACTCGTGTCATGACTAATGCAGATGAGAAATTTTATTCCTTTTTTTTTTATATATATTATCATGCATTAGATTTATCTTGAAGATTGTTGTTGTGAAGAAGATATTATGGATACATTCAAAATGGAATGGGATAATCTATTATTGGCAATGAATGACTAGTGTCAAGTTTTCAACTTGTTCGGGAGCCGTTAAAAAGAATTTGATTAGGGAGAGTTAAACGTCCTTTGGGTTATGAAACAGCTTATATCTGTTGTGGCTGAAAAACATGTAGTCGGATTCAACATTAAGTGTAAAAGATCAAGTTATACCGGTCAAAATTTGAATTTTTTTATTCTGCCTCTAATAAATTTGTTTGTCTTCTTCAGGTATGTGTCCAAGGAGAATGTAACTGGCTTCTGTCGTTCGTCTCAGTTGAAAGTAGCAGACTTCTCATATAATTTTTTAGTTGGTAGCTTACCCAAATGCTTGCAGTATCTTCCGAGGTACTTTTTGATACTCTGGTCATGTACATTCTACTCCTCCACTATATTTAGCAATCATATACTATGTCTGGCAGTTTAAGCTTTCAAGGGAATTGCATCCAGAGCCAGGATATAAAGCAGCGACCTCCTATACAGTGTGGTATGTATTGACATTACCTTTCAAGAACTCAGGTTGAAGGCATGAATTAAATGTCTCTTCATATTTGAATTATGCGAAAGAAATGAAAGGAGCTGAGTCTTGACTTAATTGTGAAGTGGCTTTCATGGATATTCCCTTTGTATTCCTCTTTTTAAAACCCAAGCAGGTGTTGAGAATAGATCTATGTATTCTTTATAGATAAGAATTTTGTCAAATCCAACAGGTGTTGAGAATAGATCTATGTATTCTTTATAGATAAGAATTTTGTCAAATCCAATATACGCTGAACAACACTTGCTTCTTCCAATCTTATGTTCTAACACTGAAATTTTATTTCATAGCGGGTGCTTCTCCTGCCAGTGCCAAGAGTCAGCCAGTGGTGAATCCAAGTCACCTACCTACTGAATATGTGTCCAAGCATCACGGAGCGTCAAAACCTGTTTGGCTTTTGGCTCTAGAAATAGTAACTGGGACTATGGTGGGCTCTCTCTTTCTGGTTGCTGTTCTTGCTGCTTTTCAGAGATGTAACAAAAAATCATCTATCATTATTCCTTGGAAAAAGTCTGGAAGCCAGAAAGATCAGACGGCAGTATATATAGGTATGTAAATTCTCTTTTTCTGATTTCTTAACATTCTATTTACAGTTAATAGCTCTAGAGCTGTTTTCAACATAATGAGTTCTATTAAAGTGCAGACCCTGAGATGTTGAAGGATGTGAGAAGGTATAGCAGACAAGAGCTTGAAGTGGCCTGTGAAGACTTCAGCAACATAATTGGGTCCTCTCCAGACAGTGTGGTTTACAAGGGAACAATGAAAGGTGGACCTGAGATTGCTGTGATTTCCCTCTGCATCCGGGAGGAGCATTGGACAGGATATCTTGAACTCTATTTTCAGAGAGAGGTAAATGGAAATTTTCCTATGGCAACAGCCTGCAAGAATTTGCGGACAGATAGTTGTCCCAATCTTTTAATATTTACTTATGCTCTTAATGCCATTCAGGTGGCAGACTTGGCAAGGTTAAATCATGAGAATATAGGAAAACTACTTGGTTACTGTAGAGAAGACACTCCATTTACAAGGATGTTGGTTTTTGATTATGCTTCAAATGGGACACTTCATGATCACCTTCATTGTTGTAAGTCAAATTTCTCAGGTGGCGTACATGTAACATGTCTTAAGCGTTTCATTCCTTCAACATGTAATTGTGACTGCAGATGAAGAAGGATGTCAATTCTCGTGGACACGGCGTATGAAGATTGCCATAGGCATTGCGCGTGGACTCAAGTATTTGCATACCGAAGTGGAGCCTCCATTTACTATCTCAGAGCTGAATTCTAGTGCTGTATACCTTACAGAAGAATTTTCCCCTAAGGTGCGGTCACTAGATAGTTCAAATCTTCAAACTTACCAAATACAGTTGTGTTCATATCTTCTTGCTGTCAAGAATGAGCAGAAATAAAGTAACTTTCACCTATGTTTATATAGTATAATGTGTTGGAGATCCAAAAGCTTGCTTATTCATTGTCATGAACCTGAATTGCAGCTGGTCGATTTTGAAAGTTGGAAAACAATTCTTGAAAGATCAGAAAAGAATTCTGGTTCCATTGGCAGCCAAGGTGCTATCTGTGTTCTTCCAAACTCCCTTGAAGCACGCCATCTTGATACCAAAGGAAACATATTCGCTTTTGGGGTACTTCTACTGGAGTTAATTAGCGGAAGACCTCCGTACTGTAAGGACAAAGGATACTTGGTTGACTGGGTAAGGAACTTCCGGAAATTTGATGTTTAAAAAGCCTTACACAAACCTGGAAGAATGTGTATTTTGTCTAAGCCGCATTTTTTATATGTATATTTGTGCTGCAGGCCAAGGACTACCTCGAAAGGCCAGACGAAATGTCAAGCGTGTTGGATCCTGAACTGAAGCATTTTAGACATGAAGACCTCAAAGTGATATGCGAGGTAATAACTCTCTGTATCAACCCTGATAAAACTGAGCATCCATCTATGAGAGAATTATGTAGCATGCTGGAGAACAGAATTGATACATCAGTAAGCGTGGAGCTTAAGTCGTCATCTTTGGCCTGGGCCGAACTTGCACTTTTATCTTAATATACAGTCAAAACTAAATTAACAGATTCACACTAAAGCAGCGAGACACACACTAGTAATACTTTTTTCTGACTACTCTCTTCCTTTTCTCTTACTCTTATATTTCATTTCTATTGTAAATGATTGCTCATAAAGGGTATGTGTTCTGGCTTTAAGCACGAGAAGGTCTCGTTGTATAGAAATTGTTAAATAGAACAAGATTGTATTCCACTGGTGTTTCCTTTGTGTATTATACCGAGCATTGTGTCATTTGTCTTGGACTCTTCACGCACGTATTTTTCAGGGTTTTTTATGACGTATGTTATAGCTTTGTAAGGGCCTCGTTTTACAAAGTTCAAAGCATTGTTTGAGTAATCATGGAAATCTTATTCTGTACTATTATTTGTTGGGCTTGTTTTAGATGAAACGAAAGAAACATTTCAATTGTCATGTCAGTGCCAGTGCCATGCACTCTCCCGTTTGTTTATTTCTTGTAGTTGCATCCTTTTAGAGTTTGTTAACAATATAAATGTTGTAACTTAAAGAAAAAAGCATGTAAATAATGTATGGCGACAGTTATCTACTTCAAACACGAAAAGTAAAAAAAAAATAGAGGTATATAATAAATACTTTTACATAAATTCATCTTCCAAGTGGTTTGGTTGGCAACATGTCAGACCAGCAACCTATAATAAATGCTACTTAGTCTTGATCCAGCCATCCACATTGTCTCTTGAAACTAATCAAGATCAATGGAACACTGAAGAATGTTTGGAAGAAAGATACATTATAATAGTACATGCCATTTTGGATTTGTCGTTGTTGATTGAATCCAGGCTAAAATAAACAATAACAGTATGGCCCCCGATGTCGTCAAATAGTTAGGAAAAAATAGTAAACTTTGAACTGTGAAGGAGAGCTGAGGCAGCAAAAGGGGGGACTTAGAGGGCTCGCGCTTTTACAATGTCCAAGCTCATCTCACTTGGATCAGTTGCTTGCAGTTCCACTTGAATGCCGTCTAGTTCCCTCTTGAATCTATCCTTGGAACTTGCATACACCATCTTCATCCTCACCTTTGAAGTGTCTGGTGACCTACACAAACAGTATTAAACAGTTTGTTCAACGATGTGTATTTGTCTTCAGATGTCTGTATTAAACAGTATTAAAAAGTGGTTTTGATTGTTATTAACCAATAAGTGAAGTACAGCTTATAAACTATAGTACCATGCAACAAAGAAGATCTTGCTTTTCTGGCAATTCTCATCAGTTGTGAAATCAAAATCATACACGGCATAGCGACACTCATCAGCTGGCAAACTGGCCTGAAAATCCTGGTATGTTTCTGTCGATCCCCCTATTTTGTCAACCACAACTGATTGTGCCTCAATTTTGAACGTAATGTATCGGTAGATCCGCCTTGCTTTAAGCTCCTGAAACTTCAATTTGCAGTCATCATGCACGGCCATTCCGGACGCTGCATTTGCCTGCTCCATAATTTTGTCATAAAAATGTCTTCGATCATTTAAGAATTCTAGAATTCTATATGTTCATTCTTTATCACACATCACAACACGCGATGTTAACTGATTTTTCCATGTAATTACAGATTTTCAGCCGGTTTAGTTGGGGTAAGAATTTAGAATTTGCATGTTTTTGATTCCCAATTTGTGTTCCAAAATCTAAGAGGATGTAAAAACACCACTTAACTTTCATAGACTGAAACGAAAGTTCATTTTTGTATCAGCAGCATCTTTTGACTGTAGTTAATTTTGTAAGGGGCATGCATGCATGCATGCACATGATGAGATACTTTCCATTCTCCTAGACATTGTCCATCTCATCAACTCTCAAGTTTCATTCTTCCAATTATATGAAATGCGAAATATTTATTCAGTTGTGATATACAATGAAAAAACATACGAATATGAATTGGTGATATTGACATTGAAAGATCCGAATGAGGGTAAGAAGAACCCTATTGACAAAGCAGAAACAAGTATTATATAAAAACTAACAGGTTGAAAGATAAAGAAGAGAAATGGATAATAAAATACCATTTTGCCAGCAATGAGTAAGAAGCGCCCTTTGAAAAGTACAGGAAAAGAAAGGGATGGGAGCAATAGAGAATGGAAATGGGAGCAACAGACTCAATGAAAATTATGGATAGAAATAACAGATAAAGATCCTTTTTTTAGGAGCCACGAGAGGTTCAACTTTCACAAGACTAAGATTGCGGTTAGGGAATTCAAAGTTGGATGGGTTCGTTTTGATCTGTTTTACTTCCTTTCTCAAGCCTATATAATGCACCAACCTTGATTTTAATTAGATCTTCCAAATTAGGAGTGCCCTTAATTATAGAAATCATGTCCCAGATAACCAGTAACTATGCAATTAAATTTCGGGATAAATACTTTTTAAGCACTTCTTTTCCATTTTAGAGAATATGTGTAATTTTGTTTCCAAAAAAATTCAGATTCGTTAGGATACCAGAAGACTCTAATATGTTTGGTTTATAAAATTCAAATTTAACATATTACGTTTGATCTTTTTTTTAGATTTGAGTTGTTTTTTTAAAGTTTGATTTGTATTCAATTAATTTTTTAATTTATTGGTATGTGTGAATTGTTGTAAATGTTTCTATATATGTGTATTCACTCTCCATGAGCTAGTAAAAATAATTGCATGTATGTTGACTATGTTAACAAAAAATAATTAAATTATAATTATAAAAAAATATAAATAGTTTTGATAATATGATTCTAATCATTTTTATTTATTTTATAGATGATTTTTATTTATTTAATTTTAAAAAAATATTACATACAAAAATTTACTTCAAGAATAAAATTGAAAGAAAATTTAAAGGGAAGAATACTCTTTATATAATAGTATAAATGAAAAAAATAAACTTCTATTGGTTATTCTTGAGCACGCATATACTGTATTCATTTTAAGTGGGGTGGGCTTGGCAATTTGGAATTGAGCATCAAAGATTTGGACCGTCTGTCATCAATGATCCACATTCTCAGAGAGTTGGTCCCTTCTACAAATAAAAAATCTAAGATGACAAGGCCCATATACAATGAATTGGATTGTGGATCACGGCTGACTGGATCTTGTGATTTTATAAGCCTATTATTGAATGGCCTTCATTTTGGAGTCCAAGTCAAATTCTGCTGGCCGGCCTCTAAACGTAACCCATGACGTCGCGGCCCAATAAAGAAATGCCATTAACCAATTAAATAAAATATATAACAGATAATGACATTAATGTAATCAATGGTAGGTAGTGCATTGCCAACTTCATGCATGACGTTTCCCGAAGTGTCATTTTCTAACTCAATATGGTATAAAATATTTGAAAAGCAAAGAAAAGAACATATTCCATAAAATCTACATCACTTTTTAAAAAAGAACCTAAAAAAGTTTGTAAGAGAGAAGAATACAAAAAACGCATAGTTTAGGGTTATTTTTATTATTAATATTGATATTATTATTATTTGTACTATTAATATTGAAATTATTATTTGTACTTTATATTGACCTATTACATTAACTTAAGAAACCAATATGAAAATAAAATTATTTATTTTTTGTTAATTTTTTATAAAAAATAAATACATGTAATTAAGTATTTAACTTTTTCATATTACCAAACACTCTATTTAAATATTATATTTATAACTATATAATTATAACACTTAAATATAACCATTTAAAGAAATTATTTATTTTAATATAATAATAATCATATTAATTTTCTTAATACAAATTTTAAAAATAAAAAAAAAATCGATTAAGACTGGTTCTAATTAAAACTGGCCATACAAAACTATTCTATTCGACTTCCCTTATTTAATCCGTATCTAGTGGGCTTCTTCGTGAAAAACCCTAATTCTGGGCCTTGAAGTGGTTATTAGTTACACGGACCCAACTCCCCGAACCCAAAGTTGCGTTAAGCCCACGTAAGTAAATGGTCCACCGACTAAAAAATAGAAAAAAAGGACCCACCAAACAAGCCGTGTCAGTTTAAAGTCAAAAGCGTATGGATGGAGACTACATTAGCAAAAACACGGTTGACACTATAAAAGCGAGCCTGGTATTGGTATGTGTTCAAATTTACGAACCTGAGTGGTGTTGCTTGGTAGGCACTACTTTTCGAAAAAAGCAATGGCGAAGTTGTTAGCGTTAAGTTGCTGGCGAAACCTCTCACCGCGACCTCATTACCCCTCCATGCCTAAATATCCAAAGGGACAGCCCGCCACCACCGTTGAAGAGCTCTCAGACTCCATCGCTCTTTTCTCCGTCGTCGGAATGACTTGTGCTGCCTGCGCCGGATCCGTCGAGAAGGCCGTCAAACGCCTCCCCGGGATCCGCGAGGCCATCGTCGACGTCCTCAACAACCGCGCCCACGTCGTCTTCTACCCCTCTTTCGTTAACGTGAGTCAAACAACTCCACAACAGAGTCACTCTCTCTCTCTCCATTTCTTTCTTCTCGTTCACTCTTCTAACTTTTTTTTGTTCTTTCAGGAAGAGACCATTCGCGAGGCCATCGAAGACGCGGGTTTCGAAGCGCTATTACTCACAGACGGCACTGACGACAAATCTGTTAAAGTATGCCGCATCCAAATCAAAGGCATGACCTGCACATCCTGTTCCTCCACGCTAGAATCCGTTTTACGAGGCCTTCACGGTGTCCTCGAAGCCCACGTGGGCCTGGCAACTGAAGAGGCCCAAGTCCATTACAACCCAAATCTCCTCCTCAATCCAAACGACGTTTTACAAGCCATAGAAGATTCCGGATTCGAAGCAGTTCTCATTAGTTCAAGCGAAGACTTCACCAAGATAGACCTCCGCGTGGAAGGCGCGGTAACCGACGGCGCTTCTATGACGCCAATACTAGATTCTCTGCGGACACTCCCAGGAGTCCTTGTGGTGGACTTAACAGAGGAATTCAGCAAAATATCGGTTTCTTACAAACCGGACATCACGGGACCCAGAGATTTGATCAACGTGATTGAGCAAACAGGCAATGGGAATTTCAAGGCGACGATATATCCTACGGAACAAGGACAAAGAAATTCTCACAGACGCGAGGAGACAAGGCAGTATTATAAATCTTTCTTATGGAGCTTGGTGTTTACTATTCCCGTGTTTCTAACCTCCATGGTGTTTATGTATGTCCCTGGAATTAAGGACGCACTTGATGCAAAAGTTGTGAACATGCTTACCGTGGGGGAGGTTGCTCGGTGGGTGCTGTCCACGCCGGTTCAGTTCGTACTCGGCTGGCGGTTTTACTACGGTTCTTATAAATCGTTACGCCGTGGCTCTGCGAACATGGATGTTCTCATTGCGTTGGGGACAAACGCTGCGTATTTTTACTCTGTTTACTCTGTTTTGAGAGCTGCTACTTCTCCGCATTTTGAGGGGAATGATTTCTTCGAAACGAGCGCGATGCTTATTTCGTTCATTCTGCTTGGGAAGTATCTCGAGATTTTGGCGAAGGGGAAGACGTCTGATGCGATTGCCAAGCTCATGAACTTGACACCCGACTCGGCGGTTCTACTGACTTTGGACGCTGATGGGAATGTTGTTGGAGAGGAGGAGATTGATAGCAGGTTGGTTCAGAAGAATGATGTGATTATGATTGTTCCTGGGGCGAAAGTGGCTTCCGATGGGGTTGTTGTGTGGGGGCAGAGTCACGTGAATGAGAGCATGATCACGGGGGAAGCGCGTCCCGTGGCGAAGAGGAAAGGGGACACTGTTATTGGAGGGACTGTGAATGAGAATGGAGTTTTGCATGTTAAGGCGACGAGGGTAGGATCGGAGAGTGCTCTTTCTCAGATTGTTCGCCTTGTGGAGTCGGCGCAGATGGCCAAAGCACCTGTGCAGAAGTTTGCTGATCGCATTTCCAAATACTTTGTGCCTCTGGTAATTATTAATTGTTTGATGTGATGAAAATGAAGGACTTTGTTTGTTTTTATTGAATTATTGTTTGTGCTCGCGGAGGATGAGATCCTAAAGGGATGGATGGATGTTCCTATGCAGGTGATTGTGATCTCTTTCACGACTTGGCTTGCCTGGTTTTTGGCGGGAAGATATCATGCTTATCCAAAGTCTTGGATACCGTCTTCAATGGACAGCTTTGAGCTTGCTTTGCAGTTTGGAATATCTGTCATGGTCATAGCCTGCCCTTGTGCTTTGGGTTTAGCCACGCCAACTGCGGTTATGGTTGGGACTGGAGTTGGTGCATCCCAGGGTGTGCTCATCAAAGGAGGGCAGGCATTAGAGAGTGCACATAAGGTCAGCATTTCTGATTTGATTAGTCCCTTTAGTTCTGGATTTACTTTGTCTATGTCGATCGGTTAAAATTGAAGTTAATAAAGTTGCTAGAAGAAAGTAAACATAGGAAAAACCATTAATATCAAGTGGTTTTTGATAGCCATTCCTGCCACCTAATCCAACATCAAATATGTTTTAGCCTTCTAGGAGGGAGTATCAACTAATGTGTTTACTTCATTTCATTTCTCAGTTCTTAAGATGAAGTATGAAGTACTGTTTTTGTTAACGTTATGCATGGTGAAGATAAATAGGTTTTTTGGATATCAGTATCAAGTATCAATCTGATTTTTCTTTCATTCATATCTCTCTACACTTTTTTAAAAGTTAAAATGGACAAGCTGGTCATTGGTTGTATGTTGTGCCATCTGTTAAAGCTTTCATGATTTTATCTGTAATTACTTACACGTGAATATATTTATGACTGTCTTCTAGGTGAACTGCATTGTTTTCGATAAGACGGGTACTCTCACTGTCGGGAAACCTGTTATAGTGAGAACAGAATTGTTGACAAAAATGGTGCTCCGGGAATTCTATGAACTTGTGGCTGCAACTGAGGTAATCCTCTCCCCCTATCTACTTCTCGAATGCTTAGCCTAGTGAATAGTTATAGTAAATAAGAGTTTGCTTTCTGATTATGATAGCTTCTTTGTTTGTAAGCGCTTTTAAAATTCATGGATTATAGATGCATATACATGTCATAAAAATTGCCCTTAATTTAACTTACCTATCTCAGGTGAATAGTGAGCATCCATTGGCCAAGGCCGTTGTTGAGTATGCCAAAAAATTTCGAGATGAAGAGAATCCTTCCTGGCCAGAAGCACGAGATTTTGTTTCCATTACAGGACATGGAGTAAAGGCCACTGTTCAAAACAAAGAAATAATGGTCGGTAATAAAAGCCTGTTGGCTGACCATAACATTGCAATTCCCGTTGAAGCTGAAAATATGCTTGCTCAAGCCGAAAAGATGGCTCAAACAGGAATATTGGTATCTATAAGTGGGAAAGTGGCAGGAGTTTTAGCAGTATCCGATCCACTGAAACCAGGTGCTCAAGAAGTTATTTCCATCCTA